AGAGAGAGAGCGAGGTCGGTCGCGGTATTCCTCTCCGGACTTCAGGGCGGTAGGTGAATGTGCTGGTACCCTGGAGCCTTCGCCTTTTAATATGTAACTCAGTTACCTCTCTCTTTTCAGTAGAAAGCTAGCAAACTTTACACGGTGCTTACTGTGTAACTTACAAACAGTTTAATTTTTCTTGTAAAACGTCAGTTTTTTTATTTTTACACAGGCATTTGACACTTCAATGTTAAAAAAAACACACTTTTTTGGCGAGTCACTTGATGTCCTGAGACCAGGCGTGTATTGCTGCAGTGGTAGTGTTTCTACCGACAGTGCAATCATTTAAAGTGGACAAAGAAAGTCTTACTCCGCTTTTCATATTTTGCTCCACTTTTAGTACTGTTCCAGACCCGTACAACTCTCGACATGTTATGTGCTTTCACTCGCCAAGGACATTCTCGGGTCGTACGCCCTGGCCGAAAATGTTCAAAGTCACTCATTATACTTGCACCGTTACAAACTCCAATTACCAGTTCGTCGATTGCGTGTCTGTGAGGCCCGCCCCCGCACGCAGATGAGAGAGAGAGAGAGAGATCTCTTTTAAAATATATTAGAAAGTTAGAAACGGAGATGGTTAGATAAAATGTGCAAGATAACGTTTATGTAGCTATTTATTTATTGTCGAAATGATGACATTTCATAACGGATCAAATCAAAGTGAATGGCCTAGCTGCTGCTGAATGCAGTGGGGCAAGTGACTGGACAAAGTTTTAAAAGTTATTACATCGTTTCAGATAATAAATAATAATGATAATTCATTCTATTTACGGGCGCCTTTCAAAGCACCCAAGGACACCTTACAATTCATAACATATGCCAAGGAAAGGTTTTAAGACAGTACAAAGAATGCAGTCCGAATGCAGTCCAGGTGATGTTTTTTATGTGGGGTGCAGATGAGAGGGAGCTGTCCAAAATGACACCAAGATGTTGTGTTTGAGTTCTTGATAAGCCATTAAAACAGTAAAATAAGTGTCTCCTGTGCACCAAAACATACCCATCTGTTATGGAAAAAGAAAGTATTCCAAAAGTATTCTAAAAGTAATCTGAATACGTTTTTACTTAAAAGTATTTCTACTAAGTGTAGACATACTTTTTTAAGACACGTAACTGTAACTGTATTCTGATTACTTTCAGAGCATGTATTCAGTATTCAGTAACTGATCACATTTACAAAGTAACACTCCCAACCCTGCCTAGAAGTGATCCTTCCTTAGCGTGAAGAATCTGCTAAGCTTTATGCGGTACGCAGTACCTGAGTGTGCTCCATTGTGGACTATATAAAAATCGCTGGCCCGCGATAGTGTCTATTCATTGGATACATTTTGGCCCTTGGACAAATGTAGTTGGTGATACCATGTTTCTGTTAGTGTTTACTTCCTGTCTGTCTTCTTCTGCTGTTCCCTTTAGTGTTTACTTCCTGTCTGTCTTTTAATGTCTTTCCTTCTCTTGATCTCTTTTATTTTCTGGGGACAGTTTTAATTTACATTAAAAAAGTATTCCATGGTTTTCTCTGATGGATGAAAGCGAATGTGTGTTGTGCACAGCTGACGTTAAATTTAACCACCTTCTTGATCGGATTTATTTCACTGCACATACTGTAGTCCCTTGACCCTCATAGCAACAGTCTGCTCTCCTTAGCAGCAGTCTGTTAATAAAACACACTTTTGGAATGTCCATTTGGACCAATCAGAAATGAATATTCAACTGAGCCGTGTAATACACAGAATTAATTAAACTAACCTTTGTACAATTATGAAGTCTATAATGAATGCTTAGTTTTCACTAAAGATCTCGGTCAGTCAGGTGTGGGATAAATAATAATACAACTTCAGGGCATTGGCTGAACCAAAACCTTTTTACTTACAAATATGGGGGGGGGGTCTCAGTCACCTTCACACTGTAACACACTCCACACACTGTATCTCCAACACATCACACTGCTGACTTATCATACTGACGACTCTATTAGGGTGTAGAGCTGAGAGACAGCATGTCTGTTGTACAAGCAAACAAACACACAAACAAACACACACACACACACACACACACACACACACACACACACACACACACACACACACACACACACACTACCGAGACGCAGTAGCAGGCTCTTATAATATGGATGACACTTCAATCTGAATACAAGCTAATGAAAGCACCTCCCTGGCACTGAGGACATTATTGACATATAATCCCAGCCCCTGGGAGAGTGAAGCCATCATTCTCCATCCACAAGCCAATCTAAATGGCCTGAAATGTTAATATGACATTTTAAGGAATTGGATTTATGGCGTATCAGCAGAAATGCAGCCGATTGACGGATAAGAGTCGCGTGGTGCAGAAAGGAGCCGGTATTTGTCCCCGTGGCACTGCATTCCGGCATCGATTTTCCTGCAGGATTATTATTCCAGTTTCTTCAGCGACTCCAGGCGGGATGCTGCTGGAGTTTACCTTCCCCTTAGCAAGATCATTCTAATTCAAAACCCTTTCCAAATGAGTTATTGACTTGGAGAGATTTCTCTTGTGCCGTTCACAATCAAAGGCCTTCACTTACAATATATACCCTTAGCAAATCAGGTACAATGTGATGGAGCGCTAGCCAATAGCAGCACAAATGTTACATAGTGATGTGGTCCAATGAAGGCGTTTCAGGAAGGGGGGTGTTTCGGAGAGAACACAGAGATTTTAGCCTTTGCAGACGATTTACATGCACAAAAACCTGTATAACACACTACAGGAAAGGGAAAACCCTCAAAAGCATAAAAGGGTCCCTTTAATAAAACCACACTGCATATGGTTAAGATCATTTAAATGCACTTGAAGATATCAGAATTTGGAGAGGCCTCTCTGAATCAGGCGAAACAAAGCATTAAGGAAATGTAATCCATGACCCTGAAGTGCTCAGAGTCATCATGGCAACAGGATGAAGGTCTAAGGACGCCATGCATCAAGTGTAGGACAAACCACAAGGATAGACCAGTCAGAGCAGAGGACACAGTGAGAAGTCCTGGTTCGTATTACGGTCAGAGTGATACCGGGAAGGGATCTGGTCACTCCTGTTCTCAGAGTGTTCCAGTACAGCAGGAACAGAGCGTCTCTGAGAGTCTGCACCGTGAGTCACCTCCAGCTCAGCCAGTCAGCATCTAAGACTCAGCTAATTACATCCCAAAACATGCCCTCTTTGGCAGGACCAAGAGCAGGCAGAGACGTTCATGTTTTAATCCGAGGGAAGGATGCAGAGAAGCGGCTTTTAGAATAATCATTTCACATGGCACATTAACCATCTCCGGCAGTATCATGAGGCGGAGAGGAACACGGCCCTCTGCCTCTCAGCTGGAGAGACAGAGCATCTAAAGCCAGCCGTATCAGAAAAACACACACTGTGCACGGGGCTTAACGCCTCGCCACTACTCACCAGCTCTCTTTGTTCCCTGGAAATGTGAAATGATATATATATCTTATCCATGTAACTGATTTTGCCAGCCGGAGATAGTTTCAAATTTCTATAAACTAGCTATGAGTGAAATATGAATATTTTAAGCAGCTTAGCA